GGAAACAAATGGCTCCAAAAATGTCAGAGACATAATTACCCTCCCTTCTAACTAGAGGAATGCGAATTACAACAACCACCCCCAAGTACACCTCACAGATCAAACTAGGAGACACTTCAAAGTGGGTTAAGTCCTTGGTCAGGGAGGGTATGGGGAACAGCACCTCCATCATGAGGGGCGGAAGTGGAAATTGGTAAGCTCTCCAGAGAGAGCATTTAACAACATTTATCAAAATACAAACTGTAGCCTACTTTGACCCTCCACTTTTAAGAATTTCATGCATGCCAGAATTTCATTATATATCATATAACAGCAAAGACTGGAAACAACCTCAGTGCCCCCTGAGTAGGTGACTAATTAAATAAATTATGGCTTACTGGTGCAGTGGAATACTCCACAGACATAGTATTATAGGCGCAAAATGAGGGGCTTTCTCACTGGGGATAGGCACCCATACCCAATATTGGTGGAAACAGGCATAGAACAATGTATGTATTATGTCATTGTTTGTGAGAGACAAATATATAAATGAAAATAGACTATTTCTAGAAGGATACAGAAGAAACTGGTAACCATGGTTGCTTCTGAAGAGGGAAACTGGAGGCAGAGATGGCAGGCAATGTTACTTTCACTGTCTGCTTTCTGTACCAGGTGCATGCATTATCTATTAGTCAATTTCTAAAAATAGAGATGCATAAAGATGTTCACTGTTGTGTTGTCTACACTAGACAAAATAAATCAACCGCCCCTGGGATGACCTGACACGGGGTTATTTTTAAAATATTACTATTGCAATGAGATTGTAATTATTTTTAATCCTAATTAAATTGTACTGAATCACTTTAAATACTTCTAGACTTGAGCCCCAGAAAAAGAATACAAATTACTTCCCAGGATATTTAAACAACTCTCAGATGTACCTACAGGATGAAAGCCAGCAATCTTTGAGAATCATGGAGAACAGAAGAAGTATCAGAAGACTGGGGACAAACATCCCAAACTTTACATACAGAAAACGAACGGAGTTTAGAAAGTTTAGCAGTGACATTGATTTTTGGCAGCATTCCAAGGAAGTGGTGAGCATTGGAAACCAAGGAGGAGTCACTCAGAACAATACAGGATAACGATGCAAATTATTAAGAGGATTATTTTAAAGTCAGCAATATTGTGTGTGTGTGTGTTTTTTAACCTTGTGTAAAATCTTTGACAGTCTGAGGGGCCAGGGGTTGCTGGTGTGGGACAGGGAGACATGTCCGGCCTCAGTTCTCCCAGAGCTGACCCCTAGTGACTCAGAACTTTGTCAGATTTGTTTCGGGAAGGCATGGCTAGGAGATAAAATGCAGAGCTATGAAGGTCACTGGGAAGTTGAACGCAGGGCTGAAGGTACACAGCACCTGGCCCACTCACGTATGCGTTAACTTAATACCCAAGAAATGCTCAGTGTTAAGACTGGCCTTGGATTAATAAAAGGAAGTAACGTAGTAAAAGGAAACGTTTGGAAAACTTTACAGGGCTGTATAAAAGAAAGGTGAGATCTTTGTTACTATTTTGAAGGCATTGAAAATTCTGGAACAAAACCAAAGACCAAGGCACAAAATAAAAATAAACAGATCCTAAGAGGTGACATCTAACAACCCAAAAGTATTACGAAGAAATCTAAATTGTGTGCCATGTCATGGAAGCCTAGCCTGAGAAATCCTTGACAACGTAATCCCACAAAGATTTGGGGACGGTGGTCTCAAGATAGAAACTTGTCACGTCTACTGAAAGCCTTCAGCTGCAGACTCCTGTTCGTGGAAGCACGCTGTCCATCCATGCTCCCTTTTGATTAGGACACACGGGGCCAGCCAGACTGCGCTGAGTGTCATGTTTAAGAGGCATACGTGCCAACGGCAGCCATCAGGACGGCAAATTTTGTCATGTGTGGAATGGCTTTAGTAGCTGGAGATTTTTTTAGCCGGGAAAGAAACTTGGGTCTTGGGTATGGTCTGCTATCTGGACACGTATTATATAAAGGAAAAAGAACCCTTCAGAGGAGCAAGGCCATACAAATGGGCATGAGATGACCTGAGTTCTATACACCTTGAAACATGCTTGTCTGCAAGGAAGAGCAACTACCCGGAGAGCTGCCTTGCCAGTGGGGCCCTCCCTTCCCATCCTGGAAGGGGGACCCATGTCAGGGATATTGATCAGGAGAGGAGACAGGCTTGTCAGCCTGAAGATCCCTTGTAACTACAATAACCTAGGATTCTAACGGGCTCGGCAGTTTCACATGTGTAGGTACGATTACAGCCTATATGCGATAATTGTGTACTACATATATCCCCATTAATAATGTATATTTAGAATAGGATGTATGTATAATACAAGATACATTCATAATAAAATATGTACATATAATATAATACAGTAGAACACAATATATGCCTGACCGTTTTTCTGTATCCCCTCCCCACCTAACACTTAGGGATAGGACAGGGTGCTTATTGGAGGGGCACATACAGGCTGAGGGAAATCTAATGACAGGGACATTGTGTGAGGTTATTTTCAAGTGGCTAGATTGTGGTATGGAGTGGGGAAAGAGGGTACAAAACACAACTTGTCAGACTCCGAACTTGGATCCACTGACGGAAGGTGACACTGTCCACTTCGGCTCTTACAAGCAGAGCGGAGAGGCACCTGACCACTTCGATCGCGCACCCATCACAGTATCCCGTCCGCATTTGTGTATCTGATAGAGTAGCCAGTGGACACAGGCAGCTGAAGCTGAAAGTAGGCCTTAGTATATGCCAAATGCACTTAAAGAGCTCTTGAAGGCTTTTGTTATGGAACAGAACACTGTAGAAGGACAGTCCTTTCTTTAGATCTTATTTGTGCGTAAAAATCAATATGTCCTTTCTAGTCTTTATCTGAGGAGAGAATGTGTCTCTAAGTATTCTCCCGAGGTCTTCAGCTCCCAGTCTTACCCTGTCAGCTACAGGTAACCACGACATAGCTCTGAAGCAGCCCCAAAGCAGAGGGCACACATTACTGCCATCTTTGACCCTCCTGAGTGTTAATTTAGAAAAATTGGCCAGCTCTCCACTGTGCCTTTAAAGCCTGTTTTCAATGACTATTTTAGTCCTCTCATCCCACCATCAGGCAGGCAGCCTGTGAATAGCTGTTCCTGGGTCCCCACCACTAGGATAATGATGCTCTGTCCCACCTCCTAACTTTCAAGTTCCCCTCCCCTCTGACCCTGGGACACAGCGTCCTCTAAACACTGTTGCTTTCATCTCTATTATTCCTCCTCTACTTTAAAAAGGGGTTTAAAGTATTTGAAAATGTCACCAAATCCTTACTTGCAGGGACATACAAAGGGTGTTAAAATAGTCACTCCAGTCATTGTTCTCAATTTTTCCATGCTGGGAACAAAAAAAAACAAATGTTGCCCCGCCTGGATGGGAAACAGAGTCAGAGCAACACGTTTGGAGAGGAGAGGTGCTGGGGCCGAGGGGTGTCAAGGTGAACCAAGCCTGAAGGATCTTCCCCATCAACAGCTAATGCCGTCAGTTCCCACAGGACAGATCATTTCTTGCCAGGTTGGTACAAGATTAAAACAATGACTATGATGATGTAAGAGTTTCATCTTACACATCCCTGAGCTACAACTGTTTACTAACACTCATTTGGGGGAGAAAGCACATGCACTCTGTCACATTTCAGTCTCACCTTTAAACAAAGCATTTAAAACTGAGCCCATGTGAAGTGTGTAAGCCTGACGACTCACAGACCTGTACCCCTGGGGGGCTAAGACATCATATGTTAATAAAAAATTTAAAAAATTAAAAAAAAAAAAAACTGTGCCCAGAACTGCCCAGAAGGGGGTGGGGGGTGGGAGGTCTACACTTACTTTGAAATGCAAATTAGTAATTTAAAACACAGAAGGGACAAAAAACACAAATTGCTTAACAAATGCCTCTTATATGAAAAAATCAGAAAATATAGACATCTTAGGGATTAATTTTTCTGACGTTGCCTAGTCTCCATTTTTCTACCGGCCACCCATCTCCTCTCAAAAAACACGGCTGCTCCATTTCACACAATGCAATGCATCTGTGAGAGGGGCTCCTCGGGACTCTGAGCAAGGCGGTTGCTCAGCTAAAGCTTCCCAGGGTCTCACGGCTTCAGACAAAAGCCGCTGCTGTGTGAGAGCAGTGGTGGTCCCGGAATACAAAACAAATTCTTAGTTCCCGTCCTATACGCTAGAGAGATTACCGAAGTCCCGAGAAAACACCCGAGTGGCAAAATCCAAAGTCAAAAATACCAGTCTTTGGAGAGGAATGAGCACAATGAGGAGGGAAAGGGAAATGTGCAAAAGCTCTTTGCTTTTGTGGCTCTAACTTGGGTTCCATAGTTAGCTTTAGTCTTTTTCCAAACCCAGCACGGGATGACTGAGATCTGCCAGAAGGAAGAACATCTGGGACTATGCCATTAGTCTCATGGGTAGATATTTCTTTGTGGGAGACCAAAAGCCCCGCAGAAGACTAGAACCGAGGTCCTGGCTCCAGCCATCAGACCCTGAATGAGGCGAGTCTTCCAGAGCTGGCTGGCTGCCAGGTCAGCAGCCTTACATTTCTCAGGGGCCACCCCTGCCTGAATGAGGGTGACAGCTGGAAGGGTAGGGGAAGGGAGCTCAAGTCATTCGGGGGGGAGGGGCTCTCTTTCCAAACGTGCACTCGGGCAGGAGTTTGCGTGCAAACTAGGAAAGGCTATGGAGTCCCTCCTTAGGTTCGGGAGGCAGTTTCCCCGAGGAAGGCAAAGAAAAGCCCCCGCTTCACAAGCAAATGCATCTCCTCTGGGGGAAAGAGGATCAAGTCGATGTCAGATCCATGTACACACAGGCTAGCATCGCTTTAAGGGACCTCGGTCTGCACGGAGGGAGACCTAGGGAAGGGTGGAGGAGATCCAGGAGTGTAAGGCTCAGGAGGACACCGGGCCGTGGCGGGCGCAGCCCTTACCTTGGTGACCACGTTTTGGACGAGGCCTGTGCGGATGCCGTAGTCCCACGCGTGGCAGTCGCAGTTGGAGGCGTTGTCCCCCTTGTCCGGAGGGGACGGCAGGGGTGGCGTGTCACCCCCGTCCCCGCCGCTGCCGTTGCTAAGGTTGCCCGCGGCTCCCCAGGAGGCAGTGGAGAAGGGGGTGGTCGGGGGGCTGGTCCAGTTGGCCAAGTCGCCGGCGTCCCACCGGCCCGTGGCGGTGACCCCCGCCAGCTCCGCGCCTTTGCCGGCCCCGCGGCACCAGAAGTTCGGCTGGTCCAGGAGGAAAGAGTCCGAGAACTGGCTGAAGCCGATGAACAGCGCCGGGATCCAGGTGAGCAGCACGAGGGTCTTCTGGTAGCCCCCGCCCAAGCCCCCGAGGAAGGGCAGCACCGACCCGTCGTAGTCCAGCAACAGGAGGCTCGGGGCCGCCGCCGCCGAGCTGCAGCCCGGGTGCGGGCCGCCGGCGGCCGGATGCGGGGCGGGCAGCGGCTGGATCTCCCCGCCACCGCCGCCGGGGCCCGCGCGTACCCCGAGGGGCGCCGAGGCCGCCGCGTCCCCGGGCGGCAGGGAGCCGTTCTCCTCGGCCGGGGGCGGCTGCCTCCCGGGCCCGCCGCCCGCTGCCTCGCGCCGCCGGTCTATCGCCATGGCCCGGGCCCACGGCGCCCGCAGAGGCGCATAGAAGCGCAGCGGAGGCTCCCGCGGGCGCCCCGGGCACAGCGCGCCGGGCCGGGCGCCCGCAGCGGCCGCAGCCGCGGAGGAGAGCCCCGCGGCTCTAGAGAGAGCGCTCGGCCGCCCCGGGTGCTTCAGTCCGCCCCCATGTCACCGGCCCGGACCCCGCGTCCCGGGCGCTGCGGCCACGCTCGGGCGCCGGGCGGAGGGCGGGCAGAGGCCGGCCCGGGCCCTCAGCCGCCGCCGCTCATCGGCTCCTCCGCCCGGGCGCCGGCGGCCGAGCCCGCCGCCCTCCGCTGCTCCGCGCCGGCCGCAGGAGGAGGAGCGGGCGCCGCGCCTAAGCCGGGCGGCTCGGTGCCCTGCGGACAGCTGTGCGAGCTGTGCGGGCTGTGCGCGGCGCGGGCGGCGCGGGCGGCGCGGGCGGCGGTGCGGGTAGCGTCCGCTTGTCCCCGGGAGCCTGGGAGGTATTTATCCGGCCTCGGGCGCCTCCCGGAAGCCGCGAGCTCGGATCCCAGCCTGCCGAGCCGGCCGCGCTCTCCCGCTCCTCGAGCCGGCCTCCCTCCTCCTCCTCCTCCTCCTCCCCTGTCCCCCGGCCCGCCCCCTCTCCCCCCGCCGAGGTGGAGGTAAGCGCGGCACCTGCTGCGCCCGGCTCCTGTGCGCGAGCGCCCTCTCCAGCCGGGACGCGCCGCCGCCGCCGCCGCCGCGGGATCCACGGGAGGGGGCGGGGAAACGGGACACCCCGTGCCTGCCTGGCTGGAGGATCCCCTGCTTGTTCCCCCTCCCCGCCGGGCGAGGCGGAGGAGGAGCAGGAGCGCGGAGCAGCGGGCGCGGGTGGGCTGGGGGTCGGCTTGCGCGCGGAGCGTGTGAACTGGGTCGTCTTCGAGGCTAGGCTCCCGAGCCGCGAGGGATTTCCACCCACCCCCGTGCGCGGGGTGTCGGTGACCTCTGCTTGCTTCAGAGGTGCCCACTACCCGCTCTCCACATCCCACTCCCGGTCCTGAGCCCAAAGTCGCCAGTGTTCGGGAGCAACCCCCGTCGCACTTTTTTTCCGGGTTTCAGATACTGGTTGATTTTTGTGTCCGCGGAGCAGTGTCAAAAATGCGCATTTGCCAATTTCGGGTCTCTGGTCGCCCGCAGCGTCAGGTCACCAGCGACCGATCGCCGCACCTGCTCCCAAATCGCCATGTCTTCCCCACTCCAAAATGCATGCTGTGTAAGTACAATGCTAGAAGGATACACCGCCGGCACGAGTTATACTGTATACACAGAAACGTGAATTGTGATGGTATTCCCCACCCCCTCCCCAAGATCTTGAATTCACCTTTCAAACGCCAAGTGCACAGGCGCACACATCTACATCCACACGCATGAAGACAAACCTCTCCCACCTCTCCCGTGCTCCGGCTCGCTCGAACCTTGCCCAGCCAGCACTACATAAATAACACCAGCCCTGCGGCAAACGGCTGCATTAGCATATTTCCTCCTGCACCCGGGGCCTGGCAGAAATGAGGATAGCCTGGCACCTTTCACCCCGACGTCCCCACGTGTTGGATACAGTTCACATTCTGAGAAGTTTATTAATGGAAATCTTAGAGCAATCCATTTCCAGTATGATTTGGGGGGGGGGGAATTTGAAAGACATGCTTTTGCTTTACAAAGGAATACAGTCTAAGCAGCGCACACTCAATGCATTCGTTTGCATTTCAATTATTTGCTTACATTTTTAACCTAGAATTCTCTCTTGCTGTGGGCATCATGTGCTTACTGCTAAAATACTTGCACATCCGCCAAAATTATTTCTGAAGTCTGTTAGTGAGCTGGGGCCTTGAGGATGGGAGGATGTCATGGACTTTTCTGAGTAGCTGAGAAGGGGAGATTAGATAACCATGGGCCAAAGGGGCGGCAGAAGATACCAAACCTCTGAGAAATGGGTCTCAAAACCTGCACATATTCAAAGCTTTTGAGGGGTGATAGGGCATATTGTATATTTATGATTTCTTTTCCAATTTAATGTTATTTATTACCTTGAATTTTTTCTTTTCTCTCCTCTCTCCTTTAGAAGAGATAATAAATACAAAGTGTTCACTATGCCTGGAACAGAGGAAGTACTTAATAAATGTTAGCTGTGTCTTATTACCACCACTATTACTATTACATAAAATCTACATTTTATTTCTGAATTTAAATGTAACTTTACAGATATTTATTTCCTCTCCAGTGGCTGATTTTTCCAGAAGAGTTCTGTTTTGTGTTGGGCTCTACCTCTGTACCCCAAAGTCACAAGGACCCATTTGTTTTCTTAGAACTCATCACAAAATAAGCATTGCCAGCGACATTGATGGCCATTCTAATCATAATAATAAATAATATTGAACTCTGCGAGGTTAGTTTCCAAATACACATTCTCATCAATCCTCATGGAACCCCTGAGAGGTAGTTCTCCCAGATGAGGCTCTAAAGGTGAAATGTCTACCAGATCAAAGAGTTGTCCCACAGCAGAGCCAAGTAACAGGCTCTTAACCCAGGTCTCAATAACCCAGACTTTCTGACTGGACATTCCAGGGTGTCTCTATTTCAATATGCAGAATTTGGGGTCTTGGGTTTTTTTTTTTTTAATTGTTTTGAAAGATTTTATTTTTAAGTAATCTCTATACCCAGTGTAGGGCTCAAACTCAAAACCCTGGGACCAACAGTCCCACACTCCACCAACTGAGCCAGCCAGGCATCCCAGGAAGTGTTTTAAAGAGATATTTGTTAATATGCATTTTTAGGTGGGAGAAACCCTAACCCTCTGTTGAAGTTTCATTGCCAAGGTGCTATTAGTCCTTATCCTAGAAGGGTGATAGAAATCTTCAAATGGGAGCACCTGGGTGGCTCAGTCGGTTAAGCATCTGCCTTTGGCTCGGCTCAGGTCATGATCTCAGGGTCCTGGGGTGGAGCCCTACATAGGTCTCCCTGCTCAGCGGGGAGTCTGCTTCTCCCTCTCCCTCTGCCCTTCCCCCAGGCTTGTGTGCGTGCTCTCTCTTCCCCTCTCTCTCTCTCTCTAATATACATAAATAAATAAAATCTTGAAAAAAAAATCCTCAGACGGTACAGTCTCAGAATTAGGAGGCACACTAGAAAACAGTACCCTCTAAGATCCAAGCTAAAAGGAACCAACATAAAATGTTTGCAATTAGCCATCTGTAGTCCTGACCCAGCCCTGACTTACCTTGTAATTAAATTCCTGATTAGATTAGAGGTTTGACTAAATCCCTCTCCCATCGACGTGCTTCCCCACCAAATGTAGTCAAGATCAAAAGGTAACTAACTAAAATTAAACTTGCCTTCAATTCATGAAGACATATCACAAATGACATCACAGAGGAACCTAGAGCAAGCAGCGAGGAAGAGGAATTTGACACTAATAACCTCCAGGGCAAGTTTTTAGGTGCCCCAGCTGGTATGGGACAGCCCATCAGGAACCTGCTATCAGATTACCCTCCTTTCTGGGTGGCGGCTATCACTAAGTGCCAGTCTTCTCATTTACTTCTTTATTTATTATCTCCTACGTCTGGACAGGTCCTCCGTATTTGCCCTCAGCTGCAATTCAGGGGCATTAAAACAGCGCTTGGCATATGTAAGGCACTCAAGACACTCAATTTTGCTGAATAAATGAGCGTATCAAGTTATTATCGCTTGATATTATCATCCAGGATCCTACAGCTCTGTTTACTTTGGTTCTTAAGTCACCAAGCAACCTTTTCCTCTTTGCTCAATCTCTCCTATACAGTGCTCAGATCAGCCAGCACGGAGAATCCGTTTGAACAATTATATGTCTTATTGTAAGTTATTGTGACTAATGGATTAGCTCCCAGGATGAAGTTCTTGTGCGCAGACGATTGGCCTGGAAGACAAATGCAGCTCACAGACCACACACAATGTTCCCAGAAAAATAACTGTCAATGTTGGAAAATCAGGAGTCTGAACATTTTTTTTTTTTAAACCATAAAAACAAAATAAGGAAGAAACCTCGGCCCTTTTGATGCCTGTTTTTTGCAGGGCTGTGCTTCCTTCGAATATAGTAAATGGGTGGGTATTTCCCAGCTCCCCCTCATCCCTGCTTGGCACACACCCCTCATGCATGTCATTTGTCTGGCCCCCAAAAGCATCTGAATTTGTGACCCTAATTTATATTATTATCCTGCACTCACTCAACTCCGTTATCAAAAAGAAAACCACAGGCCCCAAATGGAGTCACTTATGCTAGGGCATATCGTCAAACTGGGGCTTAACATCTAACCTAATTGCACATACAACCACCTTCAAAATCTAGTCTTAACAGGTCAATTAAGAATTTTCTGGTCGGTACCAATAAAGTCATCTGTCACATAGACCCTCTCCATCCCCCAAAGGAAGATGAGGTAATCCACACAGTGAGACCTTTTTGTCCCCAAAAGAAGGTAACCTCACCTGAAAGAAACTTTTTATTTGTTTAGGACTTCATTGTCCTGTCTTTAAAAACCTTTCCCTTTCTGTAGTCCTTTGGAGCTTGCATCTGTGAACATGAATCTGTATGTTCATTTTTTTTAAATTTAAACTTGAATTAATAAAGCTGATTTGATCTTTAAAATTTACTCTGTTGAACTTTTGTTACTTAACACTGTAAAGAAGCTGAGCTTCTCTCCTGCTCTGAAAGCGTGTTAAATAATCTATCAGTTTGCACTTTCCTAAAGATTGAGAAAATAAAGAAATGAGAGATAACACCTAATCACGAATACATTTGAACAATTTTATTTCCTTGGAGATAACAGGAGGGGGAAAAAACGTAGCTTACTTCTAAAGTTGATAGAAATCTAATTTTAAGTCCTTCATAATTCTGTAAAAGTGAGTTCCAAGGAATTGGTGTCAGGATTAATTAACTTCGAATGTATAATACTAGTCATAGCAAATAGATTCCACATTAGTTTTACTTGTATGTTCACTTTAAAAAAAAAATTATTTACATAATTTCTATACCCAACATAGGGCTTGAACTTACAACCCTGAGATCAAGCATCACACAGTCTTCTGACTGAGCCAGCCAAGTGCCTCTGTATGTTCCTGTTTTTAATTTATACTTGAAATATAGATAAATGCCACAGTTTAGAATATCATGTGTCTTTCTTTTTTCTTAGTGC